TTTTTTTTTTTTCAAAATCTTATCTCTGTGTCTCTCGTAAAGGTATACAACTCTTAGAGATAACAATACCAAGGAACTTTTAAACCAGAATGCGTTTCAACTTCCGAAGAAAGATAACACAGAGTTACTTCGGAGTAGAAAGGTTCACTTGAATCGTTATTTCTCTATTCTGGTTAATTACATTTACACATGATATCGAGCGTCACGAGGAAGCTGAACTTCAACAGAAAAAAATTAAAAAAAAAAAAAAAAAAGAAAGAAAAAAGTACCACGTTCTCAAGTGGAATTTCATATGGACTCGTACAATTCCGATGTACGTTTCATCAAGCATTAATACAAGCTGCACAATGAAAATTTAAAACGAATACGTATATTTTGATATTAATTTCTATTATGAAACGATCAGCAGAGGTTTCAAGCAATCAAACTGTGTTAACCTGGGTAAGTGAAATCACACTGTAGCGTTTGATCGTGAAACATACCTATCAGGGAATTAATATTAAACCTCTTCTTCCCCTACAATACAAAATTACAATCACAAACTGTGAATTGAACTTTTTCGAATGGAAATTCAATTTGAAAGATTTTCCTGCTTTTTAAACGAAGCTCATCGAGTTGTCAATTTCATAATCATTCTGAATGATTTTTATTCGCTTAAATATTTTTAATCAGAATTTCGTTTGAAACAATGTGAAAATTGTTTGTTTTTTTTTTTATTTTAAATTAGAGATCAATGAATTTTTTTTTTATTCTTTATTCACAATTATTCTATTCGCTTAAACTCGTTTGAACTAATATAAAAAGTTGTTTATCAATTTCGTAATCGTTTACAGTTCACCTAAACTTCTTCATTAAAATTAAAATTTCATTCGAAACAATATAAAACTACTTGTTTCATTTTCAACGAGGAGCATCAATTAATTTCTTTAAACTTTGTCCTAATTCAACTGAAAAGAAACGGGAGTTCAATTTTATTTCGAAGCAAAGACCAACGAACTGTTCCCCTATTTCATAATTATTTGTAACTTTAGCCCCATCGCGTCATCTCAGATCGTAAGTGACTCGTTTCGACTTTTCAGTTTTCGTGTTACCGCCACTACCTGAATCGCGGTAAAATAGACGCCACCTCTCCAGGCAAAATACTCACAAAGTCGATCCTGCTTGATCAGAGGTCTGCTCTCCACGTTATCGCTGACGGTCCAAACAGTGACGTTGTACAGTTTGCCAGGTGTAAGGCCGGTGAACGTCACTTTGGTGTCGATGTCGTCGACCATCCGCTCTTTCGTCGTGTTGCTCTCGTCGCTAATCCGGAATCGATACAGATCGAACTTGGATGATTGAACGGGGGTCCGTGTGTATCTCAATGTTAACGAATCGGGCTGATCTTGATCGACCACGACGACCACTTCCGACTGAATCAGCGGCACTAAATTCGATACACTCGTGTTTTTTTTTTCTTTTTCGCAATTTTTTCGATTTTATACTTCCTTTTATTTTTCATTCTTTTTTTTTTTTTTTCTTTTACACAGCTTTGATCACGTTTCTCTTTATTCAGATCGACTTTCTGCATTTCGACACGATCTCCTAACACTTTATCTTTATCTTTTCTGCTTCTAGTTGAAGCAAAGTTGTTTGTGACTTTTCAATGAAAGAAGAGACCAGAACGAAGTTGACTAAGTATTAAACTTTGTTTTCGAACGTGAAATTAGATTATTGCATCCGTGTGAGTCACCTAAGACTGGAAGCTGAAATATATTGTCGAAACTATGAATGAAAAGTTTTACAAGATATTAAAATATCTGTTACACATTTTCATGCTGAGATGAACGAATTACTACAAAATATACTAAAAGATATTTCATTCTATCTGAAAACATAAAATCGAGCTTCCTTCTCGAAATAAGATAACTCCTCTGTGAAACATTTTTTGTTATAATTAATAGTTTCGAAAATTAATTCTTAATTTCCAGCCTTTTGGATGACTCACCTGACATATCGTAGGTTTTCGATTAAATCGAGATAAACTAACGCTTTCTAAGATTTATGTGTAAATATCGTAAATTACTTTACAGTATATGGTTGTTCACTATTTTAGAGAATAAGACTGTTACAAATGTGTCACAAATGCGTATGAAGATATCATCGTATCAATATATAGTGTAAGCACACACGCGATTAGTAATGAAATAATCATGAATGATACTGATTCAAAGTATTGGATTGTTAGTGCCCGTGGTCAAGCAAATTTTCTTCACTATTTCAACGAAACAGTTGGACAATCATCCAGAAAGAGAAACGTAGCTTCTTGGTTTGTTAAATCCAGTGAAAAGTGCGAAATACTTTGTGAAGGAAGACGAGTGAGTGACGGAACTTACTTGTCCTGGTTGTCAAATTGGTGATATCACTGAACAAATTGTAAGAGACAGTGTAGAGCACAAATGAATATTGAACGCCCGGCATCAGGTCGCTGATAAGCACCTTCTGCACTGTGTTTTCTTCGAAAAGTACGCCGGTCACGTCGTTGCTCTCCGTGACATTTTTAGCGTGTATGTCTTCGGGATTCTCCACTGGCCACCACCTTATCACGTAGGTTTCGATTCTACCCTCTGGCCTTGGCCATTCCAGTGTCACGTTCGTCGAATCGATGACTGGAGTGATATTAAGTACTGGATTGGGTCCTGAAATGTGACATGAACTTTCTGAATTGGAAATTCTTATGTTCAAAATGTTGCTTGTGAATCAAACAATTGCTCAAAAGTATCATCTTCGAAGTTATTTGTATGATTTTTAAATTAGAAGTGATACGAAGGAGGAAGCTTGCAGAGAAGAACTGTGATACAAAAGTATTTGTTGCGAGATATTTATTACATACATTTTGCAAAATTTTAATATATATTTTAATATATATTCCAGTACATATAAATTATATCATTTATATAATTCAATTTATTGAGAATAATCTGACCTTGGAGGATGGCCTTTATAAATTTCATTAATTCATAAGACATAAATAAGAATATATCGATATTATTCAGGAACAATATTCAACATTTATAAAACACCATAGAACTATTCAGATTTACTATTTTCTAATTCACTTACGAACTGTATGATTCACTTGAAGGGGATATAGACTTTCGACCCCGTAGCTCACGGTGTTCACTTGGATCGTGTATTTCTCTCCTGGCGTCATGTCCGCCACTTCTGCTTCCGTTTCTCGAACACTTGGCAATTTTGCCCAACGCGGATCATCCTCTGTTCGATATCGTATCGAAAACTCGGAATACAGCGAGTCAATTGGCGCCTCCCAGTGTACGACCACCGTGTTGCTCGTTACTTTCTCGATACTCAAATTCTTTGGCGCGTGAGGCACTGCAAGGCATCGGATAATAATATTATAAAGCTTCTGAAGTCCTAAAATATTTAAATAGATCCTAAATTCTTAATAGTCTGCAAAATTCGTACTTTGATAGATATAATTTTTTTAAGGAACGAAACTCATTTTGGAAAACTCATTTTAATTGTTTCACTTCGAATGCAAATTTTTCATAGATGCACAAGATTTAACACAGTGATTTAATAATTTTCATGCGATCATCACGTTTGAAATTATATTGCTTACAGACAGCTTGAAGGTAGTCGTGCGGTTCGCTCCTTAGACCGTGGCTAATGGCGAAAACTTTGACTTCGTACGCCGCGCCAGGGTAAAGGTCCTCCAGAACGATATGAGATTCCGTGGTTAACGTGGTTGCGCTCTCCCCGGTATCGTTTCTGTTGTGCGTTACTTCGAATTTCTCTTGTCTCGAGTTAACGTCGCTTTTCCACGAGATGTTCAGCCCCATCTCCGTTGGCTTTAAATCCTCGATTATAGGGCTGGAGGGTCGTGTCACTTGATACAACACCGTCTCGTTCGATTCAACCTTATTACTAATCGCTTCAACGATTATCGAGTAATTTCTGCCTGGTAATAAAGCTTCCAACGTAACCTGGAAATAAAATATA